CCTCGGAAGAGTCACGAGGTGGCCCTTTCTTCTCCCTGCAAGGGGGAGCTGGCGTCATCTCCCGCGGTGGAAGCCCAGCAGTCCGCGCTGAGCTGCGACACGGTGCCAGACACTTGGAGCAGACTGGCTTATCCGTCCACCTACGGCCTGGCCCAGTGGTAAGCCCCCCAGTCCTGGCTCCCTCTGCCTTCATCTGCCTCGTGCGGGCACAGTGTTCAGAGTGATTATTCAGCCCATAGAAGCCATAGAGACTGTGCTCTGTGACTATGCTCATGAACTGTGCAAACTACCACCAGTTGCATTTGAGTTTCCTTAGCGTGTTGCTTCAAAAGCAAAAATGAATTAAAAGTCAAGGTCTGAGCAAGATTCAAATTCTGCCTCTTACTTATTAGCTGTTTGATCTCCGACAAAATACCTGACCTAATTCCTCATTTTATCATCTGAAAAATGCATATAATAGAATTCCCTCGTTGAGTTGTTATGGCCACGAGAGGCAATTTGAATTCTCTCTCATGTCATCATGTACCCTGATTTTCTTTCTTTTTGATTTTTTAAAATAAAACAATTTATTGGCTTTTATGTCTGAAAAACCCAAAGGTAGTTCCAGCCTCAGACTTTGCTTGATCCAGGAGCTTAAGTTTTCAGCATCTGGCCTCTCTCAATCTCTCAACTCTGTTGCTCTCCATGTGGTTTTTTTCAAATTTTTCAATTACAGTTGACATTCTATGTTAGTTTCAGGTGTACAGCATAGTAGTTACACATTTACATAACTTATGAAGTGATCACCCCGGTAAGTTTTGCATCCACCTGATGCTATATATTGTTGACTATCTTTCCTAAGCTGTACTTTACATCCTTGTGGCTATTTTATAACTACCAACCTGTACTTTGTATGAATCTGTTTTGTTTCATTTATTTTGGTTTTCAAACTCCACATACAAGTGAAATCATATGGTATTTGTCTTTCTCTGACTTATTTCACTTAGTATAACACCCTCTAGGTCTATCCATGTTGTCGCAAATGGTAAGAGTTCATTCCTTTTTTTACAGCTAAGTAACACTCCACTGAATGCTCTTCTTTATGTATTTGTCTTTTGAGTGGAACACTTAATCCATTTACATTTAAAGTAGTTACTGACAGGGATGTACTTTTTATTGTTTTTGTAGCTCTTCTGTGCTTTTCTTATGCTCTTGTTGGAGGGCATTGTAAGCATTTTTCTCCTCTCTGATCCAATACTGCTGTGGAGGCCTTTGAAGTTGACGTACCTGTTTTCCTTCTAGAAAAGGCTTCACGTTTCTTCTCGACTAGGGGATTCTCTATCTTCACAGTTTATGTTATATCCTAAGTCTATGGCCATAGTACCCTAAACGCGCCTGATCTCATCTCGGAAGCTAAGCAGGGTCGGGCCTGGTTAGGACTTGGATGGGAAATCGCCTGGGAATACCAGGTGCTGTAGGCTAAAAAAAAAAAGATGCATCATAGTTTTGATTATTCTGGTGCCAAATTTTCTTAACGCTCAGTATGGCCTGGGTTATACAGATTCAAGTTTGTAATCTAGAAATTCAGATTTCCTAGGAGTGTATTAGTAAATACATCGTTTCAACTTTCATCTTATTCTCACTATTTCCATTTCAATTTTTTTGCTTTTTAAAATTATTCTACCTTATGCTGCTCCACTTTTTGCTTCCGCTTTTATTAGTTTTTTCCCACTTCTGCGACATTCCAACTCCATTTTCTTTTTCTTGCCTGATCACTTCTAATCCATGATCTTGTTTATAAGTAATCACTTCGTTTTTTAAAACCTGTTCAAGTTGTTTGACTGTAGCATACTTTCCCTGTTCTTTGCCTTTTTTAAGTATGTTTTCCCTAAATCAGTGATTTGTGGTGTGAGGCAGGGCACAGGGCCATGTTCTAAGCGAGCAGGGATCTTCCTTCTGGTGACCCAGGTCTCAGGCAGACCTTCCCTGCAGCAGGGTTTGTGGATGTTTCCTCCTTCAACCCGGCTGCCTTTTTAACTCCGAACCAAACCAGGTCCCTGAAAAGTTCAGGGCTGGCTGGAGCGGCCCTCACCCTGGAGAACTGTTTTGCTGGCTTTTATGTTGGGCTATCTTCGGTGTGCCCCATTTCCCCACTGTTTTTAACATTCCTTAAACCTTCATTTCAAGGTTTCATGTGTCTCCTAATTTTATCAAAGACGTTCATTTGTCCTTAGCGTCTGTGACGTAAGCTGCAGATGGTAGGAACCTACCTTATGTAACTGCAGCTGAAGTGCAAGGACCTGTGTAAAAACAGCAGTTTCTCAAACCACAGGCAAAATCGCTTTATAATAACCTTTCCTGCTTTCAGGTAATTATTGCATGTGGGAAGACTACTATCATATGCTCTCCTGCCTGCCTTTCCCAGCAACTCTGGGCTAGTAACAATCTCCGCAGCCTCCCCTCCCCATCCCCAGGTAGTGGGCCTCTCCTGTGCCTTCCCACATGCCCTGTACACACCTCCGTGTCCCACGCTGGCACCTGTCAGCCCCGATCATACACACATCACCTGTGTATAGTCACCACACAGCACTAGGAGGAGCTAGTTGTCGAATAATGGAGACAAACTTTCCATATTCCCGTTTCTTGTCCCTAATGGTAACAGTTGTAAGATATGAAATCTCTATGGGAAAAAGTCTAGCCCTAAAGGAACATTCTGCAAATCATCAGGTAATGTCTTCACTGGTTCTCAAGGGTGTACCTCTCTACCCACACCCTTCCCCAGAATCTACTTAGTTAATCTCACTGGGAAACTTCTACATGACTAACAAGCAAGCTTATTTCTTCCTACCTTCTCTGTTCACCAGGTTTAACGACCTCCTCTTGCGATGCCGAGAACTGGACACCTGGACACAAGATCTCGCCCTTCCGGCTGTGGTGTGGCTTTCTGGCCTCTTCAACCCTCAGTCCTTCTTGACTGGTAAGGTCTGCTGCTCACAAGCGACCCCACCACCACCACCCCCTCAGACCTGCACCTGTGAGTGGCTTTCCCGGCCCTGCTCACCAGGCCTCATGCAGTAGCCATGACGGAAAAGGTGTGCGAGTGACAGTAAATGACACTCTGGGCAGAAGAGCAGAACGAGGGGAGGAGGCCCAGGAGCAGCCAAGTGAGATGGGAAGTGGTTCATTTAAGCAAACATCTTCTGCCAAGGGCCACACAGCCTCTCCCACAAGGGATCCACTCTGCCACGGCAGTGCCCCAGCAACCACAGACGGCACTAACCAAATGCACGCAGCTGCTCCAGTAAAAGCTTACCTCCCAGAGCTGCGAGGTTGTCCTGCAGGCCGCAGTTTTCTATCCTTGCTCTGATGCGGTCACATGCAAATACGCAGGAACTGAAAACACCATGGGGGCCAGAGCACGCCTCAGTACATGCTCAGCTTGCTAGTGGCTCCTGGGAACCTGACATACAACTTTATGCTATTCAATTCCTGCCCCTTCTCCTCCCACAGCAATCATGCAGACCATGGCTCGGAAAAACGAGTGGCCACTGGATAAAATGTGCTTGACAGTTGACGTGACCAAGAAAACCAAGGAAGATTATGGCCATCCTCCGAGGGAAGGCGCGTATCTGCATGGGCTCTTCATGGAAGGTAAGACACCCCCTGGAGTCCATTGTAAGGACCTTTCTTAAGCAGGTTCAAGATATTATTTGCCCTTTGTTTACTGTTTCTCAGCATTCACTCACATTAGTATTTACATTTCCTGCTTTTTTAAAATTTAAATACCAGGATGTATGTCCAATGTGAGCCAAAGTTTAAGGCATTTGGAGTGATGTCTCTTACTTAAATTTGCCCATGGATCTAATGTTAATACCACAGGATCATTTAAAACCTGCACTGAATTTAAATTATTTTGCTCTTCAATATAATCAATTAAAAAATCTTTCTTCTACTTTTTCACTTTATTGTAAGACTTCTGCAAGCCTTTAAGATGCCAATGCATATTGTAAATCTCTAAAGGGGTGGAGGGGCTGGAGAAAATATGCAATGTTTTCTAAATTTATTTGGCCATGGATTTGTTCTGTAGGACATCTCCTCTTATAAAGAACACTTTCAGAAATGCTGTCCTTGTCTTTGCCAGGATGCACTCTAGCACAAACTGCCACAAATTCAGGTGGTTAAAGACAGAGCAGGTGATGTAAGATAAATTGCAGCGGGGAGACAATGTGCTGCACTGGAGGCTTCTTACACTCTCTGTAAGCATTTGAACGCATTGTTTTTAAAGGCAGGGCAAGCTAGTTTTCGTGTACCTGGATTGTTACAGAATCTGTTTTCATAACAGTTCAGGTGTTCAGCATGGGAGAAATGGTCTGCTTACCGCGTGTGCATGGCACCTGAATAGCAGGTATTTTAACATCCCCCTCAGTCCTGGGCTAGCTCAGTAAGGAAGTCACCGACAAACTGTAACGTGACAAAACCGGAACATTTATTGCCTGCAATGCAAGATCAGTCCCAACAAGCCCCACCCACGCAGCACTTCCTTGTGTGTTTGCTGTAGGTGCGAGATGGGATGTCCAGTCGGGAACCATTGCGGAAGCCCGCCTCAAGGAGCTGACATCGGCGATGCCAGTCATCTTTGCAAAAGCCATACCCGTGGACAGACAGGAGACCAAACACACCTACGAGTGCCCCGTGTACAAAACCAAAATGAGGGGCCCCAACTACGTCTGGACCTTCAGGTTGAGGAGCAGAGAGAAGGCAGCCAAGTGGGTCCTGGCAGGCGTGGCCCTGCTGCTGGAAGCGTAGACGGGGCTCGCACTCCTCCGGCCGGAACACAGTGAGGATCTTTCATTGTCATTGCACTGTTCTTATGCACGTTAACTTATTCTACGCAGAGGCATAAACATCTCAGCTTCTATAACTTTTAAGTAACTGCATTAACTTTTTTTAAACACCATCCTTAAGAAGTGGAGAAGGGGAAGAGAAAGAGGCATATGTAGAAAGAAATACTGGAAACCTAGTCAGGATGTATGTGTTCATTAATTTTTAGCTTTCTTCAGTACCCGTCCCACAACACAAAAAGAACAGTATCTCTCACGTTTACATTAAGGTTCCATTGAAAATACAACTTCAAAAACAAAGGGGTTGGAAGACTCCTGGTCAGTAAGTGGGATTTTAGTTCTTAGGAGATATTAAAAACAATCTTTTTAAATTAAAAGTTAGCTCTTACATTCTTTTAAAATGTAGAAGCACCTGGCCCCAGGCAATCCTGAATGAAAAGGCATACGCTCGGAGGCCTCCAGTGTGGGTAACATGACAGTCCACTTTTTGTTCATTCAAGTTTTAATAAAAAAGAAAACTCTAGTACTCTGTGGTTAATTGCACTTTGTAATTTAGGGGAGCATTCTTCAGTATAAATTTCCAATCGCCTAGAGCAGGTTAAACTATGTGGTTTGAACTACGGTCAGGATAAGGTAAACTAACAGGGATCTAACCCTGTAAAAACGGCCTAGAGTTACTGCCGGGGAGGCAAAAGATCAAGGCAGCATGTACAATAAAACAGTGTCCAAGGCAAGAGCTACTTCTGCAGTTTTCTCCGCAACTTACCTGAACTTTAACTGTGCTTTTTAATCACCTGCAGATACTTTTAACAATTCAAACAGTCCTGCGTATACATGTATATAGATTCCTCAAGGTGCTTAGCTGTCTTCCTGAGAAATCTTTGTAAGCATATAAACAATCTTAACAAAAAAAATAGTATTTAGATCTAAAAGAATTTCTTTATATAAAACACAAGTGTAAGGAATCTTAGGCACAAATGGTACATAGGGCATGTCTTGCTGGAGTACACAAAGGTGAGTGAGCTGGTCCTTCTTTCTGTTAATTGTCTTCTACCAGCTGCTTTTGTAAGCTGAGAAAAAGACGGGATGTGTTAGGACAAGGGGATGGAACTGTGTCCCAAACCTCTCTTCTCAGCCCAGTAGGGACAGGGCTGCCTCTGGCCTTCAGAGCTTCCCCTCAGCCTGCCTTGTATACTTCACTTCTGTTTTATAAAATAAGGGGAAACTGTGGGTACAGGCAGCCCCAACTTGAAAATCCCAGCAAAGGCCGGAATTTCTTAATAGGGAAAATATCAGCCCTGAGCCTCCCCAATGCCAGAGAGCTGGCATTTAAGGTGGTTTGTAAGAATCAGCTTGAAATGAGGCAGGTCTGCCAGCTGGACCTGGGATTCCAACCTCTGTTTTGATTTGTGAGACTTACCTCTCCAGATACTCCTTGACGTTATTATAACCATAAAACTTGGCCAGATGAATGAGGATACCTGTGGCACAGCGGCCATCACGCTTCCGACAGTAACTGCAATTGCAGATCCCACGGCAGGGAGGACACATCCAATCCTAGGAGAGATGATAGCAGAAATCCCCACGTTACCTGCAGGTTCCGGGCAAGCCTGGTTCAGCTGACCTCTCCTCCAGTCTCCAATCACCTGTTACCTTTCCGTATGTGCCACAGGGGGGAGGGTTATCTAATCTCTCCTTCCTCTCACAGGTTTCAAAAAGGCCCATAAAGCTTGATCACCTGACGTCACACATGGAGAAACACTGAAAAATGCTAGTTTTAGACAGGACCAGCTAACATAACTAGTAGATACCTGTTCTGAATTTTGGAGAATTTCAAAGTATTAGATCAAATGCAGGGCCCCGTACAACTATACACCCAGGAAGTCGGCCCTGTTTTTAGGGACAGGGTTTCTAAAAGATCAGTGAGACCTGGGTGTGACAGTCACTTTTACACTTCCATTTGTGACTGTTGTTAAGTCATATAACTTGAGTGGCAGTATACAGTCAGCTGCAAAGTGACTCTGTGCACCCCCTTGACGACTGTCTAAGAGGTTAAGAGCACAGGATGTCCAGGTTCAAGGTAGCCGAGGCCCAGGGAGGTTATATACCTACTTCATAAGGGTAAATGAATTAGTAACAACTGAAATAAAGTAAACTGCATTAACAGATATAAAACCTTAGAGCAGGGCCAGGTACAAAGAAACTGTGTCGCCCCTGGTCCAGGAAAAGCCAAGGTAAATCTTGCTGCTGGAGGAAACGCACAGAGATTCACCTGGATGAACCAGGTAACTCTAAGAAAGCTCAGCTGACCCTAGAAAACGCGACGCAGTCTCGTCTCCCGTCCTATCCATTGGTCAGCTTGCTCCCTTTCCAGAAGGAAACCCTATTCTTCATTTCTCTTCGTGTCTTAAGATGCAGAGAAGAGAGGGGTGAGAGCCCTAGGGAGCTTACAGCTACTGGCCCCAACAAAGGGCCCAGGGAGCCCCACTGTAGGCTCCCCTTCGCCAAGACAATTCATGACCAATGCGCACGCTGCTCCTACCGGGTCCAGCAGCGCTGATCTCACATCCTCCCCGTAGCGATTCCGCAGGCAGGGCCCACAAAACTGTCCCCGCACCCCGCCGCAGCTCTGGTTCCGACACACCGTCTTGGTGTCAATGGTCTTCTGCCGACACTGATGGCACGTGTTACCCTGAGGGGAGAAGGCGGTGAGTGGCTGAACACGGATTTACAGGGTGATGCCCGCGAGGCCATGTTGTCACGCAGTCCTAAGTGCGCAAGGACGCACTGCTCCTAAGAGTCGAGCAGCATTTTTTTCTCTGGTACAAACCATGGCACCCTCACTAGCCTGTGAGCACTTTTAGTTCTGGGGCCAGAGAAGCATATTAGGGTAGATGAGACTGAGCAGGGAGCCTGAAGAAATGAAATGATCAGAGACACACGAGGGAAAGCAGGAGGGGTGACAGTGGCAATGAGCCCCGGGCAGCATCACTCAGCTCCAACCTGGTGATCTGGATACTCTTGGTATAAAAATCTCCTGGTTTTAAAATATTGGCAATTAAAAACATTTTAATACTATCTTAAGACAGGTGTACCACTATCTAAAAAAACGTTCAGACCACCACAAAGCTTCCCTCTAAACCACCAGTTAAAAGAACTTTTAACCCACCTCCTACCAAATAGTCTTAAACTTTATATACTTTTTTGTTACTATAACCATAGAAACTAAACATTTAAAATACAACTTATAAATGTTTTTCTAAACTATACCCCTGCAGCCCCCGCAGAAACCTCTCCCCCATGAGAATTCCTCCAATTCAGAGCCCACTCCGTGTCCTGGGGAGATGGTCCACGGTGGAAGCCCAGACACATTTACCAACAATGCAGGATTTCAAATGCTAGTGCCTTGGAGTCCCAATAGAATCCCAATCATGTGAATTATCGTATGCAACTCACCAGAACTTTATCATAGATTTTATCTCGAACAGTTATGGCAACATTTTCTAAGTCTTCTTCAGTGATATCCTCCACGGGCCGAAAAGAAGACATCCGGTGACGCCGTCGATACCCCTGGCACCTCCCCTGCAAAAGACGACAAAGTAGAACCTGGCATGAGATACTCTGAGTGGCTATCAGAGTTCTAGCACCATGGGCACCTGCTGTAAACTCTTGAGCACAGGGAAGTGAACCACAGTGAAGCACCAAACCCACACATGGGAAGAGTCCAGAGTTTCTCCCTCCTGACTGAAGGCACTTGAAACACCTCATTCCTAAAACAGAGGTGACTGGGAATCTCTGTACTTTGCCCCGTGCAAAACCACGAGCTGACCGGAGCCGCTAACAGGCCTGTATTGCCTCCACTAGAAATCAAGCTGGGGTTCCTAACTACTGAGCTGCTCTGCTCCTCAGTGGGGCTTAGATAAAGGCTCTCCCCGTGGCCGAAAGTTTACACCAGGGGTTCTAAGTGTGGTCTCAGGAATGAAAATGCAAATTCTCAGCTGCTGCAGATCAACCGGGGCAGAACCTTGGCACCTTTAATAAGCCCTGGAGTGACTCTGATGTTAGAGGACAACTGGTTTAGACAAAGAATAATTTGTTTACTGTGGTCAAAAATTACCCCACTAATTGTCTTCCTCCTTCTGAAACCGTAAAACTCTTCTGCAAACTTGGTGGCTGAGACAGTGAAGTTCTCCAGAGCGAACTTCTCGGGCGGCCGTGCGCTCCGGGTGGGGTTCGTGCGCCTGGTGATCTGCCCCTCGGAGAAGGCCCGCCTCACGGTTTTCTTCTTCTGAAAGCAAGAGCACAGACATGTACGGCTGGGTGCTTTCCGGACGCAAGCCATCTGGCAATCTGTTATGGCCACCAGAATTGGAATAAATAATAGTAAGGAGCTCCACTTACAGAAGCTGAGTTCGGGGTTCGTACTGGGAAGAAATCGGGCATTGTGTTCAATTCCGCCAATAGCTGAGCAAGCTAGAGTTCAGAACAAAGAAAGGATTGCACATAAGTACCCCCAAGTCTAGTTCATCCAACGCCTTAGCAGCCATGAGAAACTTGAGTAACGTAGTGTACGTAAGATCTCAGCAGTTGTTACCATTTTAACCTCACACATAAAGATTTTCATCTCCAGAGGTGAGATGCTGATGATATCATTCACAGGAATGAAATCTATGCCCATTCCTTATGTACAAAGATATGGGACGATGAAAACTGTCCTGTAATGACCAAGGCCTGGAGCATCAGGTTGGAATCCTGACCCAGCCACTAGTTAGCAGTGTGGCCCTGGAACAGTTTTGCACATTTGAATCAAGTTTCTTCATGTTTAAAACAGAGAAAGCGCTACTAGATCATGCTAACAGTTATTTAGAGCTCCAAAAATTAAGTTCTCATCAATAAAAATAATTTCCAAAAATACTTCCAAAAAACCACCACATAACAGGCATTAATATGCCAATTATGCCATTTCATTAGGATTCTTTTTAGTTTTAGATTTATACAAATATACTGGTGTCAGTGAAAGATCATGAAGAACAAACACAGTTCTTATTTTAAAGATACAGACACAGTGTTTAAAATTTCCCTTAGCTGATAAGCACAAATGTGTCTTAGGATAAATGTCACCTGAAAGTAAGCTTTTTAGTTTCTAAAGTAACTTATTAGACATATAAGATTGTATATACAGCATCATTACATGACTTTTTAAAAAATGTTTTTATTAATTTCGGAAAGTCATTGATCGGCTGCATCCTGCACACACCCTGCTGGGTATAGAGCCGGCAACCTGGGCATGTGCCCTGACCGGAATCAAACTGCAATCTCCCAGATCAAGATCATAGGTCAATGCTCTGCCTCTAAGCAACGCAGGCTGGGCTCCATGACTCTTTTTTTTAAAAACAAAATATTAAAGAAAAACATACACCGAAATGCTACAAGTGACTATGAGTGGTAGAATTTTTAATTCTGTATATACAAAATTATGAATCTAAAAACAGTCACTGCCCATGTACAGAAAAGCTACACATGGCAGATTTCACCTTGTTCCATCAATTATTTGAGTGAAGACATTTTGAAGCTCAGTGTGTTTTAATACCTAGACCTGTTTCATTCCTTCAGACAATGTCCTGAAACCACAGCAGGTCATCCCAGGAGGTGCCTGGGCTGCGAGAGGCCTGCCTGACCGGCAGTGCGAGCCTAAGGGGGCTTCCCCACGTCTTATTCACAGCTTCCTTCCGCCGGGCACAGGCCCGTGGTTCAGCTCCTCTCAGCTCCAAAACCACTCCATAGGTCATGGCACAGGGCAGGGGGCTAAAAGTGGTGCTGGGAGTCTCTTTCTGTTCCCAAACTATCAGGTCACAACTGCCTGGGGTTCAGGAAAAGAAAAAGGCTCCTGTCCCCAGAACACATTTCCCAGCAGAAGCCAAAGCCGCCTGTGCGCCCCGCGGCGCCGTCAGCCCAGCGCCAGCTCCCGGGTGGCCGCGTGGACCTTACCATGGCCTTGTTCTCTTTGATGTTCATGGTCCTTTTCAGCAGCGCGTCCGAGCTCTCCTGGCCCTCGTCCCTGGAGTCAGCCTCAGGCTCAGAGGCAGAATCTTCCCTTTCCTTCCCTTGTCTGCAGCTTTTCTTTTTCCCAGGGATGGCTTTTTTACTGTCCTGTGAGCGTGAGCTAGGAAACAGCGCCTCAGATGAATTCTTCCCGTTGGCTTTCTTTGCCAGCTTCTTGGTGGGGAACTGCAAGGCCACCCGAAGGCCAATGCTGCTCCCCCTCGGCCTGCTCCTCGGTGTGGCCTTTGCATCTTCACCTTCCTCGTCCTCGCTCGCCGGCGCCTTACCATCGGCGCTCAAATCAGACTCCTCGAGCTACCGGAAAGAAAACACAAAGATGCTATCTTGTAAGAGACTTGCAAAAAGACATATTTAAAACCACTCTGTTTTAGGAAAAAGATAAATAGCTGAAAGCCTCCCCCTCTTCTTATTAGTTCCCTGAAACTCTTCAGTTCAGTGTCCAAGGAGCTTGCCGATGGATGAAACCCAGGCAGGCGCTGTCGCTGGGCTCGGCTCCGCCCCGTTGAGGTGAAGGACCCTCTCACGGTTACAGCTGAGACCAGGGCCTTCCCTCGGAGCACAAATGCAAATTCTCAGCCACTGGCAAACTGGGTTCCTTTCAGAGCATCAGACTGGGAGCAAAACACTACAAATTGGGCTCCTGCACAGGGAACAGCCACGCTGGCAGGTCTGGAAGCCAAGTAACATGGGGAATAGTCACAGAAAAAGGGGGTGAGTGACCTAAAACTCATCTTCAGATAAAAATGGGAGTGCTAAGGGAAGAAAAAAATCGCTGACTACTGTACACTAAACAGCAGGAATAGGACTCGAGTAAAAAGCAGCAGGGAACTGATACTGGGGTCAGGGGGGAACCTCATCTCCAGGACACGATGGGTCATCAGTGCCTGTTCTGTGACCACAGAGCAATGAGGGGGAGGGGAGAGGAATCGAGGCAGAAGGCTCCTCAGGTCGCTGTGGAGCACCCATTCAGTCAGCTCAAGAAATTCTCCCAATTTTCTAACTCCACTTGGAATAGGTCTCCAGCATGAAAACATAACTTGGTTCTACATAGAAAGAAATGAAGGCAATGACTGACCATGGGACGGCAGGTGACATCTCAGATGTGAGGGGACTACTAGCAATAATAGAAAGAGGCTTAAAAATCGAAATCAGGGACCTCTCCTGGGCATCTGTCTTTGACCACGTGCTGGAAGGACGAGTCCGGGGACCTCCGTCAGGGACGCCTGACGATGGGACTGCTGTGAGCAGAGCTGCAGGAAGACCAGGATGGGCCCGGGATTCACTCAGGGACCATGCCTCAAGTTCCAGCTGGACTCAAGGTAAAAATAAGGCAGAGGCAGGAAAAAATGCAAAACTTCCAAAGCTTGGTGTGCTATTCATTTAATCCACACACCAAGTAGGAAAATAAAAGCATACTGTACTAATTTGCATTTTTAATATCCTGAACTTTCTACACTTGTAGCTTTGGAATTGAAAATGACAGGCTGCAGAGGGATCCAATTTTAGGAGATACTATTGGAGAACCTCAAAGAAATTACCCCCCAACTGGCTTTATTTATTTATCAGACTCATCATCTAATTCTCCTCTCTTTACCAAGGATGTAGAGCAGCTTACTAAGGAGGACTTAAGTATGGAAAGAGCAACCTAAAAACACCAGTGGACACTCAGCCTGGAGAGAAAGAACAGCAGGGCTGGCCCCCTGCTGTGGCTGGTTTATCTCTGGCTAGAAGACAGCAGGAGCAAGGGACAGTAATAGCCTATCACCAGAAAAGGTGGTCTCCCCAGTTCTGGGAATGGAGGCTGGGTGGGGGAGGCAACAATCCTTGTTTTCTCGCCAAATTTTAAAAGAAAATTTGCAGGTAGACCTGCCCTGGGCTATGAGTTTATATGAGAGTCAACATGTCACGACTCATACCCCAAATTTAGACTGTGGAGGGTGTGGGGGACTTTTGGGGTAATTTACTTTGCTATGCTGGAAACAAATTCTTTGCATAACCAGACATCACTAAGCTAAAGAACAGAAGAGAAGTCACTAAGAGTAGATGACACCCATTAGGGTTTGGAAGGATCTTAGTGTCTTGCTGGCCAAAAGCTGGAGACCTGCTGGCCAGAACACACGACTGCCACACAAACAGCCTGTATAAAGAAAGCCACGGGAAGCCTGGGGCCCACAGGTTGGCACAGCTCTGTGTTGCTGGCATGGGGAAGAAATCACCATCAAACAAGGGCTTTCAGGCCTTAAGTTCCCTGGGGGACACAGCAAACCTACTAGTTACAGCTTATTTAACCGTCTACACAGGTTCCAGGCCAGAGTGCTTCCTTAGGAGTTTCTGAACGTGAAGAGGCTTAACTTAACCTCTATCCTTTATAATCTTGAAACCGAAGAAGGGAGGGGCACACTGATTTGGGGGATCAATGCATGCTATTTTTCAGTTAGCAGAAAATACTTTTTACCTAAAAAAAAATCCAAAGGCTGTTCTTTAACGTTAACCTGAGACTTAAATACTAGTCAGCAAACTGGCCTAAAACATACAGAATCAATAGGAAATCAAGAAGCCTGTTTATAGCAGAGCAACGAGAGCAGACTTCCCTCAGGAATGAGGCAGGCCTGGGTCATCCTTCTCATTAAAAAGCACATCAGGCCCTGGCCAGTGTGGTCCAGGTGGTGAGGCGCGACCCCGTGCACCACGAGACTGCCTATTCGATTCCCAGCCAGGGCACACTCCCCGGGTTTCGGGCTCGATCCCTAGTAGAGGACATGCAGGAGGCAGCCGCTCTCACATCGACGTCTCTCTAACTCTCTCTCCCTCTCACTTCCTTTCTCTCCTCAAAAATGTCCATTAAAAAACCCCAAAAAACAATGTCAAACTCTGAATCAAGAACCAGAGGGAAAACTCAAAGCCTGCGCAGCTAAACCTTTGCCAAATTAACAACAAACCCAAGAACCTTCCTTCACACACAAGAAAAAATGACTTTAAAGAACATGTTACTCCCAGACACCCCTCTTTTCAGATAAAAGAGGTTCAAGAAAGTGTTTGATAAGGACAGTAAGGGACACCTGAGACACATAACCCCTCCCCCCCCAAACTCCAAAGACACGAGGGGGGACAGGTGGGTTTCCCCTTAGAGAATGATGGGCCGGTGGGCCAGGGATGCGCCTCAGGACAGCAGTTTTATCCGCTGTGATAAGCGCGTAAGGACAAGCGGAACCTTTGCGCGTGTGAAGGTTTGCTTCTTCCAAGTACAAATGCAATTCGGAAACAGGCCTGAGAACATTACAAGCCACACTCCCTCGTGTTGCTAATTATCACCTTTACTTCTGGGTTACTGCTCACACTCAGGTCACTCTGGGTAAATCCCTCAAAATCCTCCATGTCTGAGTCGGTGTCCTCTATAAAAATTCTTCGCAGCTCTTCTGTGAAGTATTTGGAACGGAAGCGCACATCCTGCTAAATTAAAAACACACGCAAGTCAGAGAGAGAGAGAGGAGAGAGGTACCAGGCGTCCGGGGCGATGGGGGGCTGTTGTTTAATGGGTCCAGAGATTCTGTCAGAGATGATGAGAACATTCTGGAAATGGACAATGGTAACAACAGCTGCCCAACACTGTGAATGTAGCTAATGCCAGGTAGTGTCTTTTGCTGGCAAGAAACTGGGAACTTGCCTGCACTTAAAAATGGTTCAAATGGCCCGGCCGCGTGTGGCTCGGGTTGGCCATCGACCTAGGATCCAGGAGGTCCCAGTTCGATTCCTGGTCAGGGCACATGCCCGGGGGGGGAGGGGTGCTGGAGGCAGCCGATCATTGATGTTCCAACTGCCTCACTCCCTCCCCCTCCCTCTTTCTGAAGTCAATATAGGTATATATTTTTTAAAATGGTTAAAAAGGTAAATTTTATGTTATGTGTATTTTACCACAATAAACACACACACACACATATACTCGCTTTCTGCAGCTTACAGAAATTTAGACCCATAAATTGAATGATTTAAAAACTCAATGTGCACAGCCTCTCTCAGCTTCTTGTCTGACGGCTGAGCGCTGGTGGAGTTCAGTTTCTCCTGCCAGGGCTGCCCAACAGGACGTCTGCTTTTGCACAGAACCAGAAAGCCAGGGGAGAAGGTGGGGAGGGAGCAAAAACCTGGCTCCCTCCCGCACTCTGGCTTTTGTTTCTGACAGCCACCCAAAGCCCGTGTCCCCCAGCCAGTGAGCATGCCTGCCCTCCAGGCCCGCAAGCTTCTCCGCAGGAAAGAAAGGGCTGGACATTCACTCCCCTGCCCGCCCACTGCTGAGCTGAGCTCACTGCAGTGGCCCTGCACCGACTGCCTCAGGGGACTGATGGACCCTCCCACCCTCCATGACCCCTAGGAGTTCCCAGGTGGCCAGAGCCCAGCAACCCCAACAGGTAGAAAGTGGACAGACGGAAAGATGTTATATGACTGACTCTTAAAAAAGAAGAGCATTTTCCAATGAAGGCGTGACTTTCTATTGAACTAATGAAAAGAAGAAAACAGGGTTCTCTAAATGGCATGCTTGAAAGAGAGGAGAGGGAAAGGACAGCATTGCAGTTCGGAAAGGAGACCCACAAACAGCCTCCTCCATGCTGGCTGCCAGGGCTGCAGTCCATGTCCCCGGTTGCCTCTTGACATCTCTTCCTCCCACACCTGATATAGCAATGATCCCTCATCACACCACATGCGGTTGGGGAATCTTTATCTCCCCCAAAGCCTTTCCCTGACTTTAATTACGCATTTCTTTCAGCTCGGATCATCTCGGGAGAAAGACAGAATAGACAAGTGGAAAGACTTAACAGGGGATAGAGAAAGAACTGTCTACATCCAGTACATTTTTAAGCCTCAAAATGCCTCCTATGAATTATTATGGGTAATTGGAGTGAGTGTGCGCGGAGCTAAATTACTCTGTTTCTTTGCTGATGGCTGTGGTGCCGCTGCTTGGAAAACACACACACGGGAAGTTTCTTTAAAGTGAAATTCAAATTGTGTTTAAGGGAGCCCAGCACTGCTGCACATAATGGGGTACAAGTTCGTGCGGCTCCTCCTGGCTGGTTCAAATGGGTCTGAGTGCGTGGGGTCCGGGTGGGAAAGCAGCAGACGGGGACCTATGATTAAGGGAGAAAGGTGCCCAGCTGGCTCCCGAGGAAACCCACCGAACCTGCTCTCTCCGAGGGCAGGAAACATCTGGTTCCTGGAGCCCTGAGGTGGCCCCGCAGGCCGCTTTGGGGCAAGGGGCCTACGTGTAGTCCCTGCTGAGGGCCCTGAGAACAGGCCAGCCTGACGGCAGCAAGGTCCGCCCTTCCAGTCCTCCGGCAGTGTCTAGCCTTTGAACCGGCCTCACAAGGGCAGTGGTCAGCCAGGGAGAAATCAGTACCTTTGGTGGGCAGGGCTGATGGAGAAAAATAACTTAGCCACAGACCCAAACCAAGGCCTAGGCTTTTGTTCTTACTCCACAGGGTGTAAGAAACGTTTTTAACGTGGGTCTGCACGAGGCACACATGCCCGCCACGCAGCCTCGCTGCACTCTAGGGTACAAGCCTCACACAGCTCTTGGCTCTCCGGGACCCGTTTGTTATTTTTTAAGATCAGTACTAGACGATATGGTGTGAGCCTTGGTCACCAAGATCAAGGACATAAGCAAACCGATCAGAAGAAGAGCTCAGAAGAGGGGGTGCCTTTTTTTATTGTGAAGCTCGTGTGACATAAAGGAACAGACTGGAACGTCATGGCGGGCTGAACAAAGGCAGACAAGCGTCCCACGTCAATTCCACCCCATGGGTGCTCATTCACCATGGGTGCTGGGTGCGGGAAACAGGAGGGAAGGGACCACACAAGTAACCAAGGTGAGGATCAGTTAGAAGGGAGATACAAGCACAGTGGCACTCGGGACCAAAGAAAATCCAGTTAAGACTTCCTGGAAGAGGCAGCATGTGAACTGGGTCCGAACTGGGGTGGAATCTAGAAAAATGCTGAGTGCCCAGGCAGGGTGGATGCACAGAGCAGTGTACACACAGGGCAGACAGCGTGCGGGGAGGGAGCCAGTGCAGCTTCTGTTCCACTCCAGCGCCGCAGGCAGGAAAGACAGTGGGAGGTGAGAGTGTGAGAAGTGGTGCTGCTCCATCTGGACCATCCCAGCTCCACCGCTTCTCAGATGCGGGACCTTGGGTGAGTTATTTCGCCTCCCTGAGCTTTAATTTCATCACCTGTAAAATGTGGATAATACAGCACCTACACCTTCCTAGGGAGGTACATGCATTAAGTGTAACCTGTATGAAAAGCATATTGTCATGGGCCATCTAAGACGACGTGATGGAGGAGGGGATGGCACACTTGACCACACAGAAGTAGCAGTCGTCATAATAGCCAAAGCAGCTACTTTGTGTGTGTTTTTTAAATTTACCTTTATTGCTGAAAGTTATTACAGATGTCCCCTTTTCTTCCCCTTCATTGATGCTTTGTTTCTTAAGGCTCAGCACTTTGCCCATGTCCTGCACTGCTCAGGACACCCCTGCCCCTCGCTGCCTGACCGTGCCCAAATGGAGACTGGCCATTTCTAGGCCAGGGAGGCCCATGACCACAGCTCAGTTCTACAGCTGAGCTACGGGCTATGAGGGAGAGAAGGGAAGGAATGGAGGTGGGAAGATTCACCAACTCCTGGAAGGGAGTTGGGGAAATAGGAGGGGGGGGGGGCAAGAACACCGAGATGGAGGTAACAAAGGGGAAGGCAGACAGACAACCACGGAGGGAAAGGGGTGAGCTGCAGACCTGCCCTGAATAATCCGGAGCGGTCCAGCTGGCAGTCAGAAGGACCTGGGGCTGGAGGGAAGGGGCAGCCAAGCCTTCCAACTTGGAGGTAAGAGCTGAAACCAGGCCACGCGCTGAGGTCACTAAGTGAAAGGGTCTGAAGACAAAACCTTGGAGAACATCCACGCGTGGGGACAGGAAACAGAAGAGACGACAACAAACGAGAGGTGTAACTGGGAGGAAGAGAGCAAGGGGAGTGGCAGCAGGTGGCCGGTGGGGTCGCACGCCGTGGAGACGTCGGGCAAGGGGAGGCCCCAGGTCCCGGGACAGGGCAGCTCCCGCCGAGGCCAGGACGTACACAGCCAGCCGAGTACTCACTGCTTCCCTTCCTGGACTCGCCTGGTGGAAGCACCACGGGCTTCATTTACAGCCTTTTAAAGGGGGGACCACGGTCGAGGGACACGGAGGAACTCTGAGCGCCACGAGGAAGCCGGGGAAATGCCACGGGGGCTGGACATCCTGGTGGGCCGGGCTGTTGCTAAGGCGCCACACAGACTCCAGGAGTCTCTCTCAGGGAACTGTACTTGTGTGTGCCACAGGCCCGAGTCATTGAAGAAAGAAAAATGCTCTCCCCTGCAGTTCCAAGAGGGAGGTGCCGACAGAGCCAGGCTGCGGGAGCAGGGCTGCAACTGTCCCGCGGCAGCCACACGTCCCGGCCCTGCGCTGTGCGGGGCGGCCCCCCTGCCGGCTGCGTGGGGGCCGCAAGCAGCAGCCCCGAGGCTGCACAGAAAACAGATCTGATCACGTGAGCTCCCCTTTAGTAAGAAAAAATAAATTACTGTATATAAGAAAGGATTTAAACAGCAAAAGTGAGAAACTCGCACCAGATTCTTGAAACCTGAAGGCCTAATGCTTATAAAATAAAATGCTCGACCGTGAACTGATACCACCGATCTCAGGCCGTGTTCAAAGAATATCTGAACCAAGGCCAGGCTTCCAGCCGAACACGCCCGCCTCGAAGCGTCCGTACCTGTTTCCCTGACTCCAGCGAGTCAAAACTATTGCAGCTCTCCTCTGATGAGAGGGTTTCCATGGGAACATCATCTTGGAAACCGACAAACTCTTCATCATCACTAGGGGCGTTAAAGATGTCAGCCACTTCTTTAGGGATCTGTTTTGGATTCAAAACAGGAAAAGGGTAAAACTAGGGATTGTTATCATCGTTGAGGGACATTTTTAAAGAGCAGTAGGAATTGGCATCTCATAACTTTTCAATCTGCCTTGGTGGCCCAGTAGACCCAGTAACCCTGAGCAAAATGTGCTTCGGCTCATACCTTAGGCAACAAGGGAAGGGGGGTGGGGATAAGACTTCTCTGAATTCTAGAGCTACAGCCCATCTCACAGAGAATGTCAAGACCATGCCTAGATAGAAGCCATTTTTGATCTCTTGACGAAAAGTCAATAGGCACCGGTCTCTGAGAAACCATTAAATGGCATCCATGGAACAAAAGACTCCATGAGATGTGACCACGCTCCTCTTTTCTTAATCTACAGTCCTTTATTTTTCTGTCCTTTCTCATATGCTGACTCAGACATGAAAATTCACACAATGAAATAGCTTTCCTTCCTGTCTATGTTCTAATTCAACTGTAGCGTCTTAGAATCCCAAGAGAATTTCGACGCTATTAAGGGCAATTACTCCCAGCGAGAATGCGGTCAGCACACGTAACCCAGCAAACGTGTATCTGCGGACAGGTCGTTTGTATATGTTGACTACCTATTTGTTCCCAACTCCTTATTTTGAAAAAGTTTCAACACAGAGAAAGACAAAAGAATGGAACAAACGGTTGTATACTCTTCACAAGGAACCCCCATATGTCACCACATTTTTGTTTCTTTCAACAAATATGACTTTGGACCATAGGCACCTGCTGATATTTGTCTGATTTTGGCCTAGGAAAACAGTGATTTAATATGAACCAACCTAATATCCATGTATGTTCAAAGTAACTTACAGACATCACCCTGAAATATTTCAACACACATCACCCAAGGAAACTATAAATGCCAAAATTTCAAATATTACCAACAGTACATCTACTAGTGTTTGGTAGTATTAATACTGGGCACTGAAGCATTAAGAAAATTAAGCAAAAGAAAAAACAAACTTTAAATTAAAAATAGCTCTTTCCTGTTTATAGTAGCACTATTTACAAAAGCCACAAAGTGGAAGCAACCCAACTGTCCACAACAGATGCATGAATAAAGAAAATGCCATATATGCATACAATGGAATATTATTCAGCCTTAAAAAGGAAGGAAATCCACCCTGGCCAGGTGGCTCGGTTGGAGTATCGTCCCAAACACTAAAAGGTGGTGGGTTTTACCCCGATCGGGGAGTGGATGGGAGTCAACCAATAGATGTTTCACTCTCGCATCTATGTCTCTCTCTCTCTCCCTGTCATTTCCTTAAATATCTTATGATTAAATTGGTTGGTCCACAAGAAACATACATACCATTTACCAAACATGCACCATTTACCAAAATATTAACTCAAAATGGATCAAACCATAATATAAAATCTAAAACTATAAAACTTCAAGAAATAGGAGAAAATCTTTGTAACCCTGGATTAGGCAAAGAATTCTTAGATACAACACCAAAAGCACAATACAGATTTTTACAATGTATAAATGACAATCAAAATTAAGAATGCTCTTCAAAAACCACTGTTAAGAGAATGACAAGAAAAGCCAACAGCCTGGAAGGAAATATCTGCAAATCTTCTACCCAATAAAGAACCCACACCCAGAATCTATGAAGGACTCTCAAAATCAGTAATATCATGGACCACACAACAATTTAAAACTTCTTCAAAGAAGAAAATAAAATTTAGAAAGGAAAAAAAAAAAGTTAGGAAAAAGATCCACCACAAACACAACAAATTATTATCACTGAAAACTTCATACAAAATAAATATACCAAGCAAGAATCGCACAGATAAAAATAGTTAAAACAAAGAAAATTCACTGAAAAGGGAACATATAAGAGGCTAAAAACATAACTGAAAAGTCTTCAACCTCCCCAAGTAAAGAAAGAAACAGGCATGAAGACAAACATGATTCTCATCCAGTGATCCAGCAATGTTTTGTTAGTTTTTAATGGCACGATAAATGACAGGAGGAAGTGACAAGACAAACACCCTTATACTGAACCGGTTGGGAAAGCAAAGGGGCCCAAGGTTGCAAAACAGAAATTTGGTCATGCATATCTAAAACAGGACAGTCAGCTAAAGGGGGGGAAAGTACATACACTCATATTTAAAAATTGCCAGAAAATCTGGATAAACTCAGAGTGAAGGAATATGCGAACTCTAATTAGTTAAGAAGGTTATTAAATCAAGGATTATCAGAGTGTGACAAGACCTCATCCGTTGGCTGGAGCACCTCCCCTCATTTCAAAGAGGGGCAACCCTCAGCCTAGACCCACTCAAGGGCACGCAGCTTGTGACCACCCCTACAAAAGGCATCCCCAAGTGCCTAAACAGGAAAAAGCTGATTTCTCAATAAAAATAACTATGTCAATTAGTATTTAGTATTTAATTCAATCAAAAAAACCTAACCTAAATATAACACCAAACGCAGGAGCAACCAAAGAAAAATACAGATAAAACTGGACTTAATCAAAACTAAAAACACCTATTCATCAAAGGAACTGTCAAGAAAGTGAAAAGATAACCTACAGAATGGGAGAAATATTTGTAAGTCATACAACTAGTAAGGATCTAGTATAGAGAATATGTAAACATCTTTTACAATGCAACAAAACAACAAAAACTCAATAAAAAAAAATTTTTTTAAAGCGCGAAGGACTGACAGACATTTCTCCAAAGAAGATACACAAATGGGCGAACATGGAAAGCCGTTCAACAGCATTACTCGCTAGGGAAATGCACATGAGAAACACAAGATGCCGCTTCACGTCCTGAGTACGGCTTTACCCCCAAAAGGGGGGGCAGGGGTGTCAGCAAAGATTAGAGAAATCAGACGCTTGTCCATGGCTGGTGGGAATGTAAAATGGTTTGGCTGCTGTGGAAAAGTTTGCTGACTCTTTGAAAAGTCAAACCTAGAATAACCAGCGCTTTCACTCTTAGGTATATAACCAAAAGAACCGAAAACAGGTGGTGTTTCAAACAAACACATGTACGTGCATGTTCACAGCAGCACTGTTTACAGCAGCCAACAGTTAGAAAGAATCCAAATGTCCATCGCAGATAAATGGGTGAAAAACTGGCATATACAATGTACAATGGACTATTGTTCAGCCATAAAAAGGAAGAAGTACACTGATCCATGCTCCAATGGAGATAACCCTGGAAAACATTATGCTAAGAGAATCCAGATGCCAAAGGTCACATACTGTATGACTCCACTTAGGTGGAATATCCAGAATAGGTAAATCCAGAGGCCAAAGCAGACCAGTGGTCGCCGGGGGCTGGAAGAAGAAAACGCAATGGGCCACAGCTTAAAAGGTACAGGGTTTCCCTTTAGGGTAATTCTTAATACACAAAGACCCAGGGAAAAGGCCTGAGGCTGAAAATCTACCTCCTGAAAACCTACCTCCGTAAGAGAAGGGCAGGGAAAGGCTGAAGAAAAAAGGCCAGATTCCAGTCTGGCAAGTCAGAGAGTTTATTAAGGGAAACGTCCACAGGAGGCATGCGCGGGGCGGCTGCAAGACCAAACGCATCTCCCCGCAGCGAGGCGGGCACTGGAGACTTATGCGGGGGCAGGGCGGAGGGCGGGGGCTGGCCTGGTCACCAGCGTGAACATGAACCTGCCAGGGACAGGGCATTACCTGACATGCCTGACCAGGGCAGGACAGCAGCCTGTTCCAGGGGCTGGCACACAGCAGGAGGCAGGAGGGGTGCTGATCTGTTAGCGATTACGATCAGCCAGCCTGGGGGGGAAGGGGGGGGCAACCTCCACTCTGGCCCGGGGCCAGCTCGCAGGACAGACGGCGGTCACGTCCTGGAACAGTCTCTTCTCCACAGCAATGAAATGTTTTGGACTAGACAGAAGTGGTGATCACACAACATTGTGACTGTGCTAAATGCCACTGAATTGTTCGCTTTAAGGTTCAATTGATGTTATATGAGTTTAACCTAAATATTTTTTTAAATCTAAACTCATAGTAACTGAAAATCTTGTTTATCCAACTATTCAAATTTGCTTATAATAATATAAAAGTAGGCAAGTGGTTTACTAAATACTTCACATCAGGTGTAGAACGTAGCTCCTCACCAGGATGGCAACTGGTCCCTCCCGTCTGAACTGAGCACAATGCCAGGCACACGGTCAAGTGCCTCCCAGAGCTCCCTCTACAGGCCTGTCTCCAAACAGCAGTCGGGGCGGCTTCGCAATTACAGGCTCCTCGCCAGCTCCCCACTGGCTGAAGGAGTTAAACCCTACATTCCCACCATCGCTCCCTCTGAAACGTCTTTCCTTTCCGCTCTCTTGTTATTTTCTACAGGACAAAAAAAAATACCTATGAATCTGTTAGTGGGCTCACAATGCATAAAGATGTAATCTGTGACATCAGTAACAAAAGTGGGGGACAAAGGTGTGCACAAATAGTTTTTTATGCCACTTAAGTTAAATTGCTGTCATTCAAATTAAACTGTTTTAATTTTAGTTATATGTAATCCCCATTGTAACCACAGAGAAAGTATCTATAGAACATACACACACAAAAAATAGTAATAAAATGGGAACCAAAACATGTCACTACAAAGAAATCCACAAAATACAAAGTAGCCAATAATGGAGTAAATAAGGGTCAAAAAAGCTCTAAGACATACAAAACCAAACCCAAAGTGGCAAAATTTAAGCTGTTCTCTACCAGGAATCATTTTAAATCAGTTTAATGGATTAAACTCTACAATCAAAAAACACAGATTGAAAAATTGGATTTAAAAAAAAAAAGTCTTTAGATCTCTTGTAGACAATATATAGTTGTGTGGGTCAACTGAAAAAAAAACCCAACACCTACATATAAGTGCATTCAAGCAGTTCGAACCTGGGTTATTCAAGTGTCAACTGTAATCAGAAAGGTATCGCATGTTCATGGATTGGAAGACTTAATATTGTTCAGGTGGCACTATCCAAAGC